GGTAACTTTTGCCCCCCCCCCCCCCGCCTGCGTCCTCCAACAACCGAGCGGTCTCTGAAGCGGTCTGGCCTCCGCGGTCACTTCCTGCCTGCGTCATCAGCTTTACATCCGCTGCTCCTGTTGCTTAGCAACCTGCTGCTACACAGCAAAAGACTTAAAAGCCGAACAAAAAGTATCTTATCTTATTTCATTTCATATCATTTAGGAAGAAAAGCTTCTCCTCCGGAGAATGATATATTTGAGGCTGAGAGAACTTGAAGAACACAACTAAATGTAAAGTTAGTTTATAATCACACAACAAAACAACAGTAGAGTTCAGTTTCTTTGGGGCGACTGGGCCGCTGCGAGTAAAAGTGCTTTTTATTTCAGATTCATACGTTTCATACTACTGAAGTATAATTATTGACACACATGCATGTGGATCACTTTGATGTTGCTGGTTAAGGTGGGGATAATTTATATTGCCATATATGCAGCCAATATTGATAATACATCATTATCATGACATTAAAAGAAGTATTCACATTAAATCTCAATATATTTATAGTCAATTGACACAGATTTAAAGATCACTTATTGATTATGATCAGAACGAAATTGATTTGGTTACAGATGCACAAAATGTCCAAATCTAAATAGGTCACACGTCGGAAAACAGTTTAAAAAAACAGAAAAGAGATAAGATCTAGTTTATCATGCGGTCTCCATCGCTTCAGTCACCACCACGCAGGTTTCCTGGTATCTTCATTTTTGCATATTTGTCACATGCAACTTTTCTATTATTAGACAAAGACAAATACAAAATGCATTTTCTAAATGATGATTTTATTAAGGTAAAAAATCCATTCCAACCTACTTGAAAAAGCAATGGCCCTCTTACCTTTATAACTGGTTGTGCATCTCAATCAGATTTAAGTCTGGACTGGCTCCAAAACCTTCATCTAGCTTCTTCTGAGCCATTATGAGGTGGACCTGCTGGGAGCTTTTGGGTCAATGTCCTGCTGCAGAACACACATGCTCTTGAGCTTGAGGTCACAACCTGATGGCCGTCATTCACCTTCAGTATTTTCTGATAGAGGGCAGAATTCATAGTTCCATCAATTACGGCAGGAGGCCGCGGTCCTGAAGCTGCATAGCAGCCCCGACCATCACACGGCCCCCACCTTGTGTGACTGTTGGTATGAGCCTTAGAAATGGCTTTGTAATCCTCCCCGGACTGATGCATGTAAATTGCTTTGTCTCTCATCCGTTTGTGTGTTCGTATAAGATTGTTGCTGGATGTTTTACATTTTGAGATCTTTTAGCGTACCTCACTTTGTGAGAAAGGTTCTGATCTTTTGATTCAGCAGGTCTGGCAGTCATCAGCCCTGTAACCTAGCTTTCCAAAAAATGTTGGTAATTACGTTACATGCAGGATTTATCAAGGGGGCGCAATTACTTTCTACGACCAGGTGGGTTTGGATATCTTTTTTTCTCTTAATAAATTAAATCATCATTTAAAAACTGTATTTTGTTATTACTTCGGTTATCTCTGTCGGATATTCAACTTTGTTTGATGACCTGAACGATTTAAGTGTGCAAAAAAAGGAAACCAGGGAGGGGGCAAATACTTTTTCTGTGTGTTTTTTGTGTTTATTTATTTAATTTAATTAATTTTCTAACAAAACAGCAGCACCGGGGATCAATCCTCCTCCTTGAAGTGTTTGAGTTGCTCAGTCAGCCTGTGAGCTGTGTTGTAGTGTTTCCCAACCCGAGAGCCCAGACCAGGAGCCGTTCAAAAAGACCTGATGTTCAGCGGTCCTAGGAGCACAGTCACCTCACCCGGACCGGGGAAACCAGGGCCCTCTACCGGAGCCTGACCCAGGAGGGGTCCTGCAGGCAGACGCCTTTGCCGTTGGCCATGTTTTTTCTTCAGGCTCTGCCCGTCTTGGTCTGCCCGGACTGGTACCAGCTGGATACAGTTGGGATCATCTCAACGGCAAGTTCTGTAACCCAGCTCTTTGAGAAGGGTTGGACTGTTTCTTTTCCTGGAGTTGCTCAAGGTCTGGGGCGCCGGACTGGAATTGGGATACCCACGAGCCCCTGGCTGAGCGCCGCCGCGCTGGAGTCTTTCCCTGAGGTCGAGAGGGATCGCTTCGCTGCTGCAGGGAGTGAGACTCTGAGCGTTGTTGGTGCTTATGCACCAAACAGTAGTTGAGAGGATCCTCCTTCTTGGGGATGCTGGAAGGGGTCGTAGAAAGGGCGCCATCGGACAAACTCCGTAATTCTCCTGGGAGACACATGGGCAATAACTTTGTGATTGGGAGGAACCACCTGCTTGATCTGACCCTGCCCTGTCACGCTATTGGAGTTCTGAGCTGGCCATGGTTTTTCCATAACAAACCCCATATTCGTAAGGTGGCGCATAAAATACACCTGGTACCAGAGCACCTTTGACCGGCGATCAATGGTTGACTTTGTAATTGTATCATTTGGTCTGCGGCCGCATATCACCGCTGGGTGCTGAGCTGGACAGGATGGCCGAGAGGTAACGGCAGGCCAAAGGGGCTGCAGATGGTGGTTGCAGATGCTAAAACTCTCAGGAACGGAAGGAATTCTTGAAGCCCCTAAAAATGACATTCTGATCTGTGCTCAGAGAAGTTCTTTCAACCATCCCCC